AGCTCCGGAGCGGGGCGGCGGCACCGGGGGAACGGGCGGCACCGTGCTGCGGAGCGAGGAGGGGCGTCCCGGCGGGGGCTGCGGGGGGAACTCCTCCTCCCGAAGTTGCCCGCTGCCCGCTCCGCGTCCGTTCTAGAAGTTGCTGCGCCCCGAGCGAGGCCGTCCGTCGCGTCGCTCCTTCCGCGGGCGACTGCCGCAGAAAAGCAGTCCGAAGCGCCTCCGGGGTCGGCCCCCTCCACAGGGTTAAGGCCGCGGGAGGACTCGAGGGCCCCAGGGCGCTGCTGCGAAATTCCCCAAGTGCGGGATCGCGCAGTAGGGATCGCCCGCTTCAGGTCGTGATCGACTCCCAGCGCTGATTCAGGGCCGCGCGCTGCCCCGAGCTGAGCCCCGGCCGCGGCTCCTTCCCTGCGGGCAGCGGCAGAGCACGGCCTGACCGCCGCCGTCTGCCAGCCAGAGACACCCTCAGCTTTGGCTATCGGACCGGCAGTGGTGTGCAAGGAATTGCTGGAAAGCACAATAATTTATAATCAACGTTCCTCCTATTGATTTTATCTCTGAATAGATACTGTTAGATAATGAATAGCAAACAGGACGCTGAGTGTAATTCTGCTCTGCTCAGATCAAGGAAGGCTCCCACTGACTTTCCCAAGGCTGGGATTTCACCTCTAGTTTCTATTCCTGGCGCTGTCACTGCCTGTGTGACCTTCTCAAGCTCCCATCTTCCCTTTGCCATGCATTCCTTACATTTAAAGACGTACTTGCTTCATGACACTGCTGCAAAGTTCAACGCGCTCAAACTCTTTGCGGTCATAAAGAGGAATGGAATGAATTTCTGATATGTATCAGTGTTTGTTCCTGAGTCTGTTTTCATGTGATGGTGAGGGGAACCACGGCTGGAGGAATTATCGACCTGTTCCTGCAAACCTTGTTTATGCCCTCTTACTCCTGAGGTAACTGGCCAAGTGATGATGTGAATAGGGGCTGGGTCTTGGTATGACAGTTTTTGTGCTGGGATGTGCAGACATGCAGTACGTACACATCAGCCTTTGAAATGCACCATCAGGAACCAAGGCTGTTTCCTTAGGTCAAAGTTCTGGGATCCCAGTTAACAGACTTCTGTACTGTTTTGCCTTGGAAGCAAATCTGCAGACCTGTAACTAAACTAAAGTTACTTCAGGAAGTTGCTTCAGTCCTTCTCTTTTTGCAAGTTCATGTGAGCCAGAGTGCAAGAGCAATTCAGAAACCTCCTGTAATTCACCAGGTGCTTAAGTCATTTTTAACGCTAAATGTCAGATCCCAAATGCCTTGCAGAAGGCTCTCTGTGTCTCCAAGGAGGAGACTGGGAGTCCTATGCTCAAAGCTTTGCAGGGGCAGCAGGGGCCGCTCGTTCCTGGAAGCCGGTCTGTGATGGAATGAAGTCCTTGGGATGTCTGGTGATGCTAACGTGCAGCACATCTCGCATGGCACCCAGCACCCTGAGGTGCTGCAAAACCCAGGAGCGCCCGGCTGAGGAGGGCCCTTTGTGCATCCAGGTGCTGTCTGAAAAGCACCGCCAGCCCTAACCCCATGGGGCTGTGTTAGGGCAGATAGGCACAGCCTGTGCTGCTGAGAACTGCCCTCCCAGCACAGCCTTCTTCTATGCAGATCAGGTGGCAAATTGTTTTTGGTGCAGTCCCAGGCACGAGTGGAGCTGACGCCTGCAGCAGAACAGCAATGCAGACAGAGCTGCAGGGAGGGGACAGCTTGGGCTGCAGGTGCCCCCTCTGGGAGGGGCACAAGCCACCCTCAGTGGGCTGCTGCCTCCTTCCTGGCCCTCTGTGCACATGTGCAGCTACAAGCAACAAGGGCATAGAGCATCCTTCAAACCAAAGGGGAGTATTGCTTACCCTTGGCTTTTATGCCACATGACATCACCTCCCGAAGCTGCAGGCTCTCACTCGTCTCCCCAGGGCCACGCAGTACATGGTTCTGTGCAGTCCTCCACCACCACTCGTGGTGCCAACTCAGAGTCTGGAAAGGCAAAGTCACAGCCACAGTGGTGAGGGAGGGGCGGTAGCAGGACCACTTCCAGCCCCTCTGCTGCTCGGTGCAGACCGGTGCCATCCGCCAGGGCAGCAGCACTCACATGCCCTGACTCGTGCCCTGCTCCAGCATGCGGGAGCCGCTCTGCAGCACCTGCTGGGGGCTGTGAAGCCGTCAACACAGGAGCGTGGGCAGTGCTGGCTGGAAGGTGCGACGGCTCTACGAGGTGCCATTAAGCCAGCAGCACATCATCCTCATTAGCTCCCAAGTGATTTTGCTGTATGCAGTGACCAAAGGAAGTGCTTCAAACTGAATGCTCAAAATGCCGTTGCAATCTTCGCTCAACTTCAAAAGCAATGATGGGAAAATAATGGTTGCCAAGAATTGGGTTTGGAAATTCTTTAGGGCAATGTGTGCAGATAACTCCAGCAAGGCAATAGCTCATTCGTTCCCTTCTGATAACATTAGAAATGCTCAAACAGCTTACAGATGCTGTTGAGACTCCATGATGTCGTTAACAGTGAGTGGCTCTCACATCCTTACCTGTTGCAGAGGTGTCGGGGCTTCCATGTGCACGTGCCCCACTGCGGCCCCACAGCTCCTCTCAGCCATCAGAAGAGCAGCACGCATGCTGCCAGGAGAGCCCTGCCCGAGGCTCTGTGGGTCCAAAAATCAGCCTCACGGAATGAGGGGCTTGGGACCCACAGAGACAAACCACGGTTTGGTTTTTGTTTGGGTTTTTATGTTTGTTTGTTCGGTTTTGTTTTTAAACACACAGGTCAACTACACAGATCTTTTGTCTTCCAAACCAGACAAAGCAGACCTTAACTCCCAAAAACTTTTTTTGTTTTTTTCAGTCAACTTATTACTTAACTATTGATTTTAAGGAGAAAAAAAATCATTGCTATGAAAAGGATGATTTTCCACTTAAAGGAGGAGAGGGAAAGTTCAGTGGCAAAACTCCAGCCATTTCTACCGAGAACAGCTCGAGCAGATAGAACAAAGCCCTTGAAAATAGAAGCGCGTATCCTCCGGGGCTCTGCCCAACCTACTTTCTAACCACCCGGAGATGAGGTCCCACCACTTCCACAGAGGAGCTGCTCCAAAGCCGAGCCTGGCCCTCCCACAGCCCCTCCCCACCCTCAGGGCTGGGGGAGGACGTGCTGCTGCCACGAGGTGTGCTCCTGGGCTGCGGGCAACGGGGAACTCCTGCACCGCCCCGGCTGGCTCCGGACGCCTTGCCCATGCCCCATCCGCCCCCCGGCTGGCGGCTTTGCTGCAGCACCGCAGCAGCAGATGGAGCAGCAGCACCTGAGTGGAAAGCCCAGCCAGGCTGCGAGCTGCGCCGGCCCCGTGCCTGCAGGACGTACAGCACCCCCACGGGCAGAGCCTCCCCCACCGTGCAGCACCCCGGGAGCACAGTGTATGGGGACTGGAAGGAGGGGGCTAAAAATTCTCCCTGTCTGTCACAGTGGCTGTAGCTGTGCAGGATGTGCCAGCAGAGCACCTGAATCCATTGCGGGACGGGTCCTGCAGTGGCCCAGCGCTGGGGCTGCAGTGGGGCAATGGCCACAGCAGGAATGAGCCCCAAGTGCACAGGCACTGGGGCCTGAATGCATCCCCTCCTCCTTGTGCAAGGCAGAGTATGGGGAGCCCCAATTTCAAGGTTTTCACATATGTGTAGATGCCTTAGCAAGAATAAAGCTTTGAGCCAGAGCTGCTGCCAAAATTGCTTACTTTGGAGTCAAGCTTAAATGGAATTTGATTTGATATAGGGTGTAGGAATTAGCTTAAAATGTCTTGCATTAGAGGGCTGGGCATGCTGTAAACACAAGCTGAACATTTGCTTACTTCTGAAGTTTCTGTGGAAAGGAATGGAAAATCAGAAGCAAACGAATGTGGATTGGCTTCCCAGCAGCAGGACGGCGCTTGCTGTGCTGTGGCTTTGCTGGCAAAACTCATACTGACCTCTGCAGTGGGTTGCTGTAGGTTCCTTCTTGAGCTTGGTGCATGGCACAGGGATATTTCCAAGATCTAAGGGTCCTTCAGAGGTTCATTTTTCCCTCCCCATGTGGGTAGGCAGCGCACAGCACTGCATGCTGCTGAACTCCATGCCCCGGCGCTGACCCTCCCAGCGTGAGGCAGCGCTGAGCTCCTGCCATGTAATGCTGATTGGGTTGGACAGACCATAATGTATTTTTCATGCACTGGATCTTGTTCTGCAGTTGCTGCTTTGCAATGTGGGGCTCACTGAGCAACTGAAATCACAGCTGTGTGGTTCCTAGGGGTGATCCTGCCCCAGGTGTATCTCTGCTCAGTGATGAGGCAGATTTCCTAAGGCCAAACTTAAAACAGAAATGAGCCCATTCAATAGAAGGGTTTGTATGGTGCATTTTCTGTTTTCACAGTGCTGGGGCTCTCAGCCCAAGCCTGCAACAAGAGGCAGTGAGACCAAACAGAAGCGTGGGTGCTGTCCTGCGGGGCTGCGTGTGCAAAGCTGCTGCCCTGCAGCCACATCCGTGTGGAGCACAGGTTGCAGAGCCCAGGGCTCTGTGTCCCACAGGACATAGGGCTCGTGCTGCTGGGGTGACCCACCAAGCTGTGCTCTGACTGCGGGCCCTCTCTTCTCCCTTAGGCGTGGGCTGCAGATTCGGTTGCGATGGAGACCGTGTCCCTGGAGCACCAGATCCAGAGTGTGCAGAGGCACATCGCCTTCCTGAAGAAGGAGCAGATGGAGCTGCTCCACGGCCTGCACCTGGAGATCCTCCGCCTGCAGAAGCACTGCTCAGGTGAGCACTGGGCACTGTGGCACAGGGAGCCCAGCACAGCCCACCTGCCCTCAAAGACAGTCCTATTATTAAAACACAGAACTGGTTCCCTCTTTCTCCCAGATGCCATTTGCCCAAGGGAAGGAAAATGGCTGAACTCCACCAACGATGGGGTGAGCGGGCATGGGACTGTGCTGTGGGTCCCTCTCAGAACTGGAGGAACGTGGGTTCCTGGGCTGGGGCAGTTCCCCTCCATCCTCCTGCCAGCCCCAGGAATCCACCCCAGTGGCTCTCGTCAGTAATTCAGCCTGGCCAATTACTCATTGTCTTCCAGCTCCTAATCACTGATTCCTGGGAAACAGAGACATGAGGGCATTTCTAAAATTGTCTATTCCCGCCCATCCTTTCTGAGCTTTTGCTGTTCCATTTCATTGTTTTAATAGCTCCATCAGTGCCTCTCCACATACGTGAGGCCAGAGGACCCTCAGGCATAAATCATGCAGGGAGGTTCTGAGCTGCCCTGGCAGCAATGGCTCTGTCCTGTTTGCTGCTTGCAACAGACACTGTGCCCCATCCCTGAGGCACATGGCTCTGCATCTGCAGGGCATGATGGGTCCACGCTCTTATGTAGCTCCGAGGTGACTTTGGATGTATTTGCAGTGCCACTGCCTGCTATTCATTTGCACGAGGGAGGTAGATGGGTCAGTCAGCACTTTCCTGCCCAGTCCAGGCATGTAGCTCACTGCTACACCTGGATGTGCTGCTGTGACCTTGGGTTTTTGCATCATGACCTTGGTGTCTCAGTGGCCTCACCGCCAGCAGTACCTGTCCTCCTGCAGCTCTGCTTCACAGCTGTGCACCAAAGGAGAGCCGACAGCTGGGGAGGGACTGCAGCACCCGCTGAGCCCTCTGCTGCACTGCCAGCACAGGACAGTGGGATAGCAATCCCACAGTTACACCATGGGGTCAGGGGAAGCCGACCCAGGTAAAGCCCCACAGTGCAACATCCTCGGTTGGAGGCTTTGCAGGAAGATAAACGCAGCAAAGTGCAGCGTAGAGTGATTCATCTGCTGGAAGGACCCTTGCGTTACAGCAGTGCTGGCTCCCCTCCCACTCCCATTTTATTTGCAAAGTATAAACACAGCAGAAATAGCAATAGATCCTTTCAGACTCCTCTGTTTCTCCTTTTACTGGAAGATGAGCTCAGCTGCTGTGGCAATAATTAGCACATTCCCAGCGTTAGCAGAGCAGCAGGAGGAGAGCTGCGCAGCCCGGAGGGGCTGTGGTGGCAATGAGGGCTCCACATGGTGCTGGGCTTTGGGGTTTTGCGCTGCGGGGCCCAGCAATGGCCTCTGCTGGAACCACATGGTGCAGAGAGGGCATCACAGCAAATGCTGCATGTGGCCGCAGCACCAGTGGAGACACAGGAGCCTGAGCCACCAGTAGGAAGGGGAGCACATGTGGGGCCAGCCGTGAGAACGACACAGGGAGGGATTCCAAGGCACTGGGACCCCAGCACACAAGTGGAGACCCTGTCCTGAGCATCACTGTGCAGGCAGCAACATCTTTTCCAGCAGGAGACGGCTTTAGGTTCCATTTGGAATCTCTCTGAGACTCCAAACCCATTATTTTAACTTCAGTAAAATAACACAGCTGCCATTGATTTTCCGTGGGGCAGGCAGGAGAGCTGAAAGCTTTCCAGAAATTGCATTACATTCTCCGTTACTCTGCATTCTCACCACAGATTTGTTTTCCAAGAGAGCCAGCAGAGCAGCCTCAGCCAAGAGCTCCGTTTCAGGGCGGAGGTGATGGGGATTAGAGTCAACACGAAGGCAGATTAAAAGAAAAATGTAGGGCAGAGATTAACCGTTTAAATTCATACTCAGAAGACAAAAAGCTCCGGCGTGACCGAATGCTGCTGTCCCTCCGCTCCTCCCGTTTGCTGGTGGTTTGGTGGTCTGTGATATTCGCTGAGAAATTATGTGGGGTCCGCGGGGCTGCGGTTGCTGTGGGTCTGCTTGCACCACGCACAGAGGCAGAGATCACTCTGCGGATAGTAAATGATGAAACACTTCAGGCGGCAGTTTAGCTTTGGTCTGTTTTCAGTCCATTGCTCCGTTCTCGTCCTGGTTTAAAGCGCCGAAAATGGTTCAGCAGGTAAGAGCTGCAGAGCAGTCCCAGCACGGAGCGCCGCTCGGCGCTGCTGCCCGCATTGCCGCTACGCGGCCGCTCGCGGGGACAGAGGAGCAGCGCTGCGCCGCGCCTCACCGCCGTCTGGTTTCTCTTCCAGAGCTGACCCACGACCTGGAGATGAAGGAGCTGGAGGCCCGCCAGCAAGGTGAGAGCAGTAAGTGTGCGCGGGGCCGCCGCAGTGCTCCGAGGGGTGGGGGGGCCCAGCGGGCGGACGCGGACTCCGGTCTGAAGGATCGCTGGGGCTCTGTGCTCGGATAGGACGCCCTGAGTGCCGATGCCCCAGTGAGTGTTTGCATATGAAAGCAAGCATTCCTCGGGTTTGCTTTGCTAATCCGTTTACACAGAGCCCGCAGGGGCACTGCAGATCCCCGGGGAGCGACTCAGAGCTTGCAGACCCTGAGCCCCGGGAGAAAGCAAACACAGACAGTCAGTGAGCCCCAAACCCCTGTGCGCTGTCCTGGGCATTCGGAGGTCAATTCGGAATCTCTTCCAGTGACGTTATATACCACTACATCCCATGAAAAAAAACTCCTTGCGATCCAAAAAAAGGGGCAGAAGAGTCCTGGCACACTCAGCACGGCTGCAGGCTGCAGACGGGAGGACGGCGAGCTGCGTGGCACCGAGCCCTCATCCCGTCCCTCCCCCGTGTCCGGGCCCAGCATTGCCCAGCTGCCGTGCCCAGCAGAGGATGCTGTGGGAGCAGCTGCGCCTCCTCTCTGGCCTGAAGCCAGACCCCATCCCTTGGCCGTCCCAGCACGATGCCATGGCTATGTGCCGGAGGCTCGGCTTCTCTCCCTGCCTCCCCGGTGTTGGCAGTGACCAACGCCTGCAGAGCACCACCCGCAGGGCGCTGCCATCAAGCTGCCTTAACAGCTCCAAAAAAGTACAATCCCATTTGCTACATTTATGGGGCAACAGCCTAAATTAAGATGCCGCCAAACGATCACTCTTCAAATGCCACTCATGTAATAATTACTGCGTGCAGCTTCCTCCCTTAAGATCTCATTATAAAACATTTTGCCTCGCAGAAAGCACTTAAGAGCCGAAGCTGTAAAGCGGTTGCAATGTGTATCACAACAGGCAGAGCTTTCTGCAAGCTGCGGGATCACGCCTGGGCATGCTGTGTGCTGTGCAGGGCTGTGCATCCACCCCTCCGGCTGTGCTTGAACGGCCGCCTTCCACCACATCCCCCTACCCCACATTGCTCACATATTCACAGCACCTCTGATGGTGGAGTGCAGGGAATGCCGCGTGGTGCCACATCCCTGGAGTCCCCACACCAACAGCGTGTCTTTCCTCATAGAGCTGAGAACACTCTTCATTGAAAGGCGGCAGCCTGAAGGCACAACTCCCTGTGCCCAGCCCTCAGGGGGTTGGCAGAGGGGCTCAGGCCAATGTGGGCACCTGGCCTGGTGCTGAGCTCGTGCTCATGTTCCACAAAAGACACTGGCATGTACAGGATGGTGGGATAGGTGGGTGGGAGCCAGTGCCATCCTCCTGCGGGCAGCAGGAGCCGCAGTGGAGCAGCCCACACGGCCCAGGCAGGGCGGTGCAGAGCGTGCAGGAGTGACTTGTGTGAAATCACCGATCTCCAGGTGTTGCTGGGTGACTCAGAAAGGCTGGGGCAGGGAGGGCACAGTCCCCACTCCTGGCTGAGAGCTGTGGGGAAATGCTGTTTGCTGCGGCACCACTGCTCAAACATGTCCTGCCAGGGCCTGTGCCTGGCAGTGACTGCTGCAGTGCAGAAAGAAGCCGAACAGGTCGGGTGTTCGGAGCAGGGAGGCAGCATGTGGAGCGCATCGCAGCTGGCAGCGCCTGTGCAGAAGAACTCAGATTCCTCCTGCACGCTCAGCAAGGACAGCAGCAGGGAAAATAGCTTCAGGTATATGGGCTCCTGTGTGCCCATACATATACGTGTGTGAATGCACCCCCAGAAGAACAGCCACACACGTGCACGCATTTATGCTGAGGTGCTCAGCTGAGCCTAGCCCAACTGCCCGGTAATCCCAGATCAGCATTCTCTGTCCTCTAATCTGGCTTTTCAGTCTCTTGGCACAAGGGCAGCAACACCCTACGCGCTGGCCTGATGGCAGTACTGCCGGGATTTACTCTTCTCTCCCAGCCTGAAACCGTCCCCATGCAGAGGGGGACAGGAAGGGGCCGCGTGCACTGGGAGGGAGCCTCTGCTTGGGCAGCCCATGGGCGGTTTTGGAACCACGACTCCCAGAAGCACGCCGCCCCCCCACGGCGCTGCTGGGACACGCCGGCACCCCACTCGGCCACTCCGTGCCGGGAGCCGCGCCGCTCACGGAGCAAAGCTCCCCTAACCACTGCCTCCCCGCAGACGCGCTGGACCGGGAGCTGGAGGAGAAGTGCCGAGCGATGGAGGCTCAGCTGCAGGAGAAGGAGAAGGACAACCTGGAGCTGCGCAAGGAGCTGCGGCACAAGGAGACTCTGGTGGCCGCGCTGCGCTCCAGCCTCCGCAGCAAGGAGCGGCGCTTCCTGGAGGAGCTGAAGCGGCGCAGCCACCGAGTCACCATCCTCGACACGGAGCTGCAGAAGCAGACGGAAGCGGCCGCCTACCTCTCCCTGCAGCTGCACGCCACCTCCCAGCGCCTGCCAGGCCCCCGCAGCGGCGGCCGGCCGGCCCCCGTGCAGCCCCCGGCCGAGGGCGGGCCGCCGCGCCGTGGCCACAGGGTACATCCGCGGCGCCCGGCCGGGGTCGGCGCCCGGCCCGGGGACCCCGCGCGCGAGGAGCACGACGCCATGCCCGACCCGGCCCTCTTCCTCTACGCGGCGCGGCCGCCCGCCCCGCAGCGCCAGTCACCGCTGGAGCCCCCCGCCGAGCCCCGGGGCGCTGCCGCGGCCCCCCGGGCGCAACGGCTGCCCCAGCCGCCGCCGCAGAAGCCCGTAGCCGGGGCTCGACCAGCCAAGGGCGAGGCCGGCAAGCGGCCGGGGCCCGGGCCACGCGGTGCCCGCGCCCGGGAGTAAGCATGGAGGCGGGCGCGGCCCGAGCGGCTGGGAAGGCGCTGACCCTGGAGCACCGTGCCGAGCGGCAGCCAACGTCGCCGTCCCCCAGGAAGGGGGGGGGGGAAGGCGGCGCTCTGCTCTCAGCCCGTGCTGCCCCCGCAGGGCTGGGCCGTGCAGAGCGTGCTGGGGCAGCGCTGCGCGAGGCGTGCGGAGGGGCAACGAGGGAACGAGGCTGGGACGAGGCTGCCGCAGGGCTCCCCCAGCCTGAAAGGTGCCCGTCTGCGGCACCCGGCGCCGCTCCCCGCCGGAGCGCGACTGCGACCCGCATCGCCCGCACGGGGTGTCCGCGCGCCGGCGCCGTATTCTTCACTGGCATCTACAGCCGGCTGCTGTTTTCTCACCACAGACTAAAATCATGTCAGCGAGCCACTGGCAAAGCGGGATCTGGTGCACTGCCACCCACAGGGCAGAGCTGGCCACAGTGCAGCCCCATCAGGAGCAGAGGCTGCAGATGACGCTTTGCCTGCAGTGTCCGAACTATTGGAGCCCACCTCCCTCGCGCGCAGTTCAAACCCCTGGGAAAGCATCGCCCTTCCTCTGAACCATCACTTGCCTCCAGCCCGCAAAGTGCCCACGCAGCCAGAGGTCTCTATTTTTGTAGCTCGGTGTTTATACCTTACAACGCTTTTAGGAGACTCTCAGTCACAGTCCCAAGCCAGCTCTCCAGACGGTGAAATCAAACCCCAGAGTGTGATCAGCTCTGCAGGAGGCGAGCAGCTTTCGTGCTGCCCTTTGGCTGTGATGGGCACCCAATGGGAGAAGTGTCCAACTCAGGTGGCAGGGCCCCCCCGCGCCGCCAGTGCTGCCCCAGTGGCGTCTGGCCGTGCTCCCAGAAGGACACTGCATGGCAACGGGTGAGGCACAACCTGGCATCTTGTGGGTGAAGCCCCTCCTGGCCTTGGGACAGGGCTGCTCTTCCCGGGCTCTGAGTGCTTTTGCTGAGAGCACGTCCCGATGTTCTTTTAATGTGAGAGAGGGTAAAACATCTCTGTGCGTCCCTGTGCTGTGATTTGCACAGCTCGCTCCCCCTCGTTCCTAGACAATCCTGATACACAGAGCGTGTCGCATTTTTATTATAAAGCTACTGATAAAATCATGTTGTTCATGACCAACCTGAGCATTAGAAAGGGGAGGCCGTGTAAGTACCCCCCTGTTCTCTGTAAATATCTTCCTAACAATCAGCATTTTTAGTGCCTAGTATGTAAATGAAGCAACCCTGTGGGAGCTGCAGGACCCTTCCCCCTTCTCAGCCATCAGCTATGAGCTCGAGGGGCACATCCCATCTCAGTGCCTCGTGGCTTCTGCCCACCCCATGGCAGCCTGAATGGGCAGGGAGGCAGCAGAGCCATGAGAGTCTGGAGCCCTGAGCTGGGTAGGGCCGGTTTCATGCACTGCACTGCGGTCACTGCTGCTCCTGAAGGGGGGAAGCTCTAGAGTACAATATATACGCACTTATATATATGTATACACATAACGCACTTGCTTTGAAGGGAAAACACTGTATGATTGTAATAGAAATGATGTTGAAATAAATTATTTTAATCTTTGTATTTATATAAAATGCTCAACGAGGTCTAAATGATCCCAAAACCCAGAAAGGCGGTGCTCCTGTGTTTGACCTGTGGGATGCTGCTGGGTGCACTGAGCTCACGGAGCAGCAGGGAGCCCCGGGCAGTGCCTGCCCTGCCCATGTGCACAGGGGGCCCAGCTGCCCCCAGCCCTGGCTGCAGCGCAGGGCAGTGTGCCATCACTGCATTTGCTCAGCGCTGCTCAGCTCCCCATGAGTTGGAGCGGTTAGCTGTACACTGTGCTGCAGAGCTCTGTACGTGGACACATATAGACTGGGAATGTAACTGCTGACACCTACATGCTCTGTATGGAACAAGCAATGTGTAACGTTGATGCATAAAAGCTTAATAATTAGACTGGAAATGGATGCATAGCAATAACACTCCATTGTTAAACATTACCTGATATATATAAAACAGCGTGTTGGCAACTCCTGCGTGCAGACCAACAGCCAGGCAATGCTCTTGCACCCACTGCTGCTATTCTGCACTGCTTGCAGCCCAGTGGGCCCGGAGCACTGGTGCTGTGATCATTCCCCCGTGCTGCAGCTCTGCAGGTGCTCTCCAAGGAGGGTACTCACTGTGTTGCACAACCTCGCAGCAGAGGCAGAGGAGCTGTGCACGTGGCAGAGGCAGCCCCACGGTTTACACAGTGCCCCAGGCAGGCTGCTTGGGGAGGTCTTCTTGACCCCACTAATTAAAAAGCCTTATTTTCTGAATGTGCTTGCTGGGGCTACCTAAGCATCCCTGGCTATATCCTTCCTGCTTTGGTGTTGTGGTTGTTGGGGCACTCAGCAGCTCCCTGGCTTCATACCACCCACCAGAAGTATCAGTGCTGTCCTGCACAGCACAGCCCGGCAGAGCCCAGCCATGCTCCCCACAAGGCTGCGCGGGCCCAATGCCCATCTGATGTGCTACTACCCTCCCGGCAGAGCGCTCCCTGATTGCATCCAGCCTGCCAACTGGCGTCCTACCCCTCTTGCACACCGAGGAGGAGCTACCTGCACCCAGGTCTGGTCCTGTTGCTCGTTTGACCAAGGCAGAATTTGAGGCTTTCTGCAGGTTGCCCTTTCAAAGATCCACTTTCCCATCACTGCAGTCACACCAGTAATGAGAAGCCAAGCCCTGAACTCCCACATCTTCCTGTGTCTGTAAACCAGGACCTTCTTCCCGAGGTCCGCAGGCAGATGCTGAGCCACATCTCCCTGGTGGCTGCAGGGACACGTGCTGGGACCGCTGGGGCTGTGCAGGAGCCTGCTGTCCCCATCGGCTCTGCACCGCCTCAGGCCGGGCCCTGCACTCAGTTGCCCCAGCTGGCGCAGCTGCAGCTCCATCAGAGCAGAGCAGGGCACTGTCAGCTGGACGAGCAGAGCTAAGCGGGGCAGTGGCAGCATGTGCCTCTTGCTGGGAGATCCACGGTGATGGGACGGGAGCCACAGCTCTGACACCGTGCTGCTTTATGTGAGGGTGCAGTTCACTACATGGCACCATTATTCACCCGCACCATGTTCACGTTGACTTTTTTAACCAAGTGCTTTTCAAAACATATTCTCTACATACCTAGAGCACAGAGAACGGAGCTGTGAGCTGTACGTGAGAAGCCATTGCGATACCCTGTTATTTCTTAATGAAAAAACCACAATCCCTTTTGGAGTCGCCCTTTCCTGCCCCAGTGCAGCCCCCTGATCTCCCACCGGCAGCAGCCCCGTCCCACGACCCCGGGCCCCGGCTCTGTCACGGCTGGAAGACGAGCGTGTCCGGAGCAGCCCGGTCCTCGTCCCCATTGCCACCCCCGTCCCCGGGACACGGCTGCGGGCCGGCCGAGCTCTGCTCTCCCGTAGATCCCGCAGCCCGGTCCCACCCCGGTGCGCTGCTCCCGGCCCACGTCGTGGCGCGGCGTCCCCGGGACGCAAACCGAAAGGAATTGGCTTTTGGCCGTTCGCTTTTCTACCCAGAGGAAGGCGGCCGCCCGCGCCCCGGTCCCGCATGTCCCCCGCCCGTCCAGCGCTCCGGCGGCACCGCGGCCCCGGGGTCCCGCGCGCGACCTCGCAGGCGTCGGGAAGGTCGCCAGCGGCCCGCAGCGCGGTCCCAGCCCGCCCGGCCCGCGGCGAGGCCCGCTTCGTGCCCGCGCGCTGGGCCTGGGCCTGG